AACCGCAACCGCGACCGCGACCGCAACCGCAACCGCAACCGCAACCGCAACCACAACAGCAACAGCAACAGCAACAGCAACAGCAACAGCAACAGCAACAGCAACAGCAACAGCAACAGCAACAGCAACAGCAACAGCAACAGCAACAGCAACAGCAACAGCAACAGCAACAGCAACAGCAACAGCAACAGCAGCAGCAGCAGCAGCAGCAGCAAGCAGCAACAGCAACAGCAACAGCAACAGCAACAGCAACAGCAACAGCAACAGCAACGGCAACGGCAACGGCCACGGCCACGGCCACGGCCACGGCCACGGCCACGGCCACGGCCACGGCCACGGCCACGGCCACGGCCACAGCCGCAGCCGCAGCCACAGCCACAGCCACAGCCACAGCCACAGCCACAGCCACAGCAACAGCAACAGCAACAGCAACAGCAACAGCAACAACAACAGCAACAGCAACAGCAACAACAACAGCAGCAACAGCAACAGCAACAGCAACAGCAACAGCAACAGCAACAGCAGCAGCAACAGCAACGGCAACGGCAACCGCCACAGCCACAGCCACAGCCACAGCCACAGCCACAGCCACAGCAACAGCAACAGCAACAGCAACAGCAACAGCAACAGCAACAACAACAACAACAACAACCACCAGGCCCTGCTCCCCTGCCCCGGTAAAATGAGAGTGTTCCACAAAGGCTTTATGGCTGCCGATGGCGACCAGCCTTCTAGTCCCGAACTGCACAAGTTGCTCTGCGCAAAATGCATCGTGCAAGTTAGCTCAAGCAGATGTCTCTGTGCAAGTTGCTTTGTGCAAGTAGGGCTGTGCACGGAAGAGCCCTGTCCCGGCTAACAAAGTGGTTTGTAGCCATTGTCCCGCTAGATTTCGAAGTCGCCCAGGATTCTATTCGTTTAAGAAGCCATGAAGCCCTTGCCATTCCATGAGCATGACGGCAATCTTACGGGCACTTTCAGGTGCTTTAGCCTGCCCAGGAAGGTGTCGCGGCATTTGGTCCCAGAGTGCTTGTTTCGGCATCAGGGCTCTGGAGGTCCAACGCGTGTTAGCAGGCTTTGGAGTTGAGGGAATAAACCTGAGACTGAAAAGGAACAATTCAGCGGTTCACAGTCGCTGGCAGAAGTGGACATCGCGAGCCAGGGAAGGTGTGTTTTGTCCACATGATGTCTCTGGCTTTTCTGCCAATAAGGGTTGCGACCCAACAATCCAACTTGTTTAGGCCCCTTTGAAGTGCTTCCTGACTTGTTGTAAGAGCCACACGTGGCATCAACCACGAGCATTGCCAGTACATATTGCTGTACCGCGCATGCTGAAGCAAGGTTGTGAAGCCCAGCCAGACAACGTGGCCCCTGTGCCGGCGTCTTTCCGGGATAGCTTGAGGCTTCAACATGCCCCCTCGCGCCAGTCCCTGTCGTGATGTTGCTGCAGCGGCACTACGCGCTCAACGCGCGGCTCAACGCAGCAAACTTGGCGGTGGAGGACACAAGTCTTTTAAAGCTGATTTGATTGGATTTCGTGCGTTGCTGTTGAAAGTCCCAGAGCAGCTGGCTGAACTCAGGAAACCACTCACTTCCATTCCATGTAACGTGCAGATAGCTGTGGCTCTTGTACCCGTACTAGCGCAGGACTTGAAGTGCTGCTGGCAGCACTGGAGCTGCTTTGGCGCAATTGGCTGGAATGGCGGACATGCGTATTTTCAACGTGGGAGTCAGCGCAGGTTCCCTGGAGCCTTACCCCCGGCGTTGGGAGACCACCAAGGCAGGGGGCAGCGCGCAGCAACTTTTTGGGTCCTGGTCTGATGCAACACGTGACAATGTAACACGTGACCTCGGCAACATTTGAACGGCATATGGGACTCATCCGAAAGGTCCCTGTATGCAGGCATGAAGGGGAGCACCTTTTTCGTCTTAGTTTTGCCCTCTGCTAAAGCTGCGCGATGGCCTTCGCGATGGACTTTGCGATGGACTTCGCGAAACTTATTTTTCTCGAGCTGTTTTGTGTTTCAGTGGTTTGCGAAAATGTTGAAATATGTAGCCCAATACGCATGTTGTCATTTTCAGTTGTACAGTTGAGACTACTGACATGTTTTGGCTCAAGAAAATAAGGCGCTCCGAAGCGGCCAATTAGATTTTCATGGTAGCGGGGAGCAGTAAAGGTTCAGAGGGACCTAAGCGCTCAATTTGGTACTACGCCAGCAGAGGGCGTGGATCAGTACCGCCTTGGAGGCGGGGAGGCCGCGGACGCGGCAGGAGCCCGGCGGCGGTAGAGCCGCCAGGCGAGGAGGGCGCTTCGGTCGTGCCAGAGACCGAGGAGCTGCCCGAAGAGGCCGCGGTGGAGGAGACCGGGCCTGAGCAGCTTGGGGGAGCTGAAGAGGGGCCAGAAGAATTGGCCTCGGGACCGGATTGGTCCCCCAACGAGGAGAGCGTTGCCCAGCAGGCAGCTGAGACAGAGAGGATCTTAGCTAAGCTGCTGGAGGAGCCAGAGGAGCCAGAGGAGCCACCAAAGAAGAGAAAGAAGAGAGAGGATAAGCCCCCAGAGCCGAAGAAGCCGGCGCGCAAAGGGTGGATCGTCAATAGATCCACAGAGGCTTCAGCGTCGGACTCGGACGCCTGGGGCACCTGGCGATCTCCTTTGATCGCCCTGGCAGCCCCGTCCTCATCGCATCCGGAGGCTGCCAGCAGCACAGCACCAGCACCAGCAGCAGAAGCAGCAGCTGAGGAAGAGGAGGTCCAAGTAGAATCAGAGGAGGAGGCCCCTGCAGCAGCTGAGGAGAAGCCCGAAGAAGCAGGCAAAGGAAAGGGCAAAGGTAAGAAGGGCGAGAAGAAGAAGAAGAGCAAGGCGCCCTGGCCCCGCGTGAAGGAGAACTCAGCCGGTAAGTGGAAGGACGGACGCCGGTCCAAGGAGGCGAGGTCCTACCGGTTCTTGCGGGGCTTGGTCAAGTTGAACTTGAAGCGCAACAACCCGATCCCGCCTGCAGTCCAGGAAGCCCTCGATAAGTTCGAAGAGGAGTACGGCTACGAGGTGCCTGTCCCCAAAGGCTTTGGCAGGAACGTGCAGCCAAAGTCCCCTCCAGGTGGTCCAAGGCAAAGGCCAAAGCGGGAGTTGACCCGCCGTAAGAGAAGGCCGACCAGTGGAAGCACCTCGGAGGAGGAGGAGGAGCCCACTGCCAAAGCAGCCGCAGCAGCTGAGGAGGCAGCAGCACCGGGCGCTGAGCCAATTGCATTGCTGCCGGAGGTGGCAGCCGCGGCGAAGTCTGCAGGCCGCGTGATCAGTGTGGCGCTAGCCACGCAAGAGGCAGCACTGCGCAGAGTGCGTGCAGGCAAGGCCACTCCGGAGTCTGCGTTGGCCAGCAACTACCGCCTGAGGAACGCGGCAATCGCTCAGGAAATTGCTGAGAGCAAAGCACCGGCTCAGGGAACAGCCGGAGCTGCCATAGAGGCAGCGATCAGGGCCCAGGTGTTGGCCCGTGACAGCCTAGCAAAGGCTTGCAGCTCGTGCGACGAGAGGCACCGCGCCCAATACCCGTGGGTGTTGGAGCGTGCGGCGCGCATCGCGAGCCAAGGCAAGGGCGCGAAGGGCGCGACGCCTATCGCACCTGCCGCTGTCACCACTGCATCAAAGGCCCTTGCAGTGAACCCCAAGCCCGCGGCGAAGAAGCCGCCACCTGTGCCCAAGACAGCATCCGGAAAGCCTGCAGCAAAGGTCAAGTTGCAGCCCAAGCTCAAGCTGCAGCCCAAGGAGCAGCTCGAGGAGAAGCCGGGTGAGGAAGTGGCCAAAAGCAGCAAAGGCCCACCGGTGTTCCTCAAGCCCAAGCAGAAGCCACCGGGAGCTCCGCAGCCTAAGTGGTCCGGAGTCCGCTTTCCGACTGAGCAGGAGTCCACAGACTCAGAAACCTACACTTCGGGGTCCGAGATCTTTGTGGAAGAGCCCGCCGAGGATAGCAAGGCAGACGTATAGTCTGCCGAGGGCCAATGGCAGAATTAGCTGCCATACAAGCGCAACTGCAGCAGATCCTTGAGGAAAATAGAGTGTTGCGCGAGCAGCAACAGAGGCAACAGGAACAAACTGCCCTGTTGACCCGGCTGGCCGAAAGCATGACAGAATTGGCCAGGAATACAAAAAGAGAGGAACCCAGAAACTGTTGGTTGACACAAAGGGGATTGGTAAGCCGGAACGGTTCAACAATGAAGAGCATACGTTCCGGAAGTGGGTGCGTTCAGTCACAAACCTTGTTGTCAGCATCTTTGGGAAGGAGTTTGAGAAAGTATTGGATTGGTGCCTCGATCAGGATGGGCCCGACGACATCACTGTGGACGAAGTCGAGGCCGCGCATGGGGAGCCGGACGGGGTGTCCGGTTTGCCAGACATAGGGGACCAATTGTTTCGTTTGCTTTCTTCCTTAACCCATGGAGAGACTGAGGACTTGGTGATAGGCTGTTCTAACGGGTTCGAAGCGTGGAGAAGAATCCACCGCCGGTGGGATCCCCTAACCGCCGGACGGAAGAGAAACATACTCCGGGCGATATTGAACCCAGAACGTGTGAAACGGTGGGAAAATGTGAGGGCCGCAATAGAGCAACTCGAGGACCTTTTCAGGCGATATGAAAATCGCAAGAACGAAGCTGGTGAGAGAGAACGCCTGTCAGAAGACATAAAGGCGACCAGCTTGGAGTTGCTTGTACCCTCAGACATTGAACGCCACCTTTTGTTGAACAAAGGACGCCTCACAACCTACGCACAGATGAAATCAGAAATTGACCTTGTGATTGAATCCTCTTTGGGAAGTAAGGCACCGATTTCACGCCCTGGCGCAGCATCCTCATCGGACAGTGGTCCGGCGCCCATGGACGTGGACAGCCTCACAAAGGTCATCAACAGCTTGGTCAAAGGCAAGGGATCCGGTGGAAAGGGCAAAAGTAAGGGCAAAGGTAAAGACAAGGGCAGTGGGGGAAAAGGTCCAACTTCCAAGGACATAGTTTGCTTTAACTGCGGTAAAGCCGGGCATAAAGCTGCGGAGTGCTGGAGTAAAAAGAAGGATGGCTCAAACAAAGGCTCAAGCAAAGGCTCAAAAGGAGGTGGAAAGAAAGGCAAGAGCAAGGGTAAGCACAAAGGAGCGAACTCACTGGAAGAGGACACAGGTGAGGGAGCCCATGAAGAAGAACAACCCGAAGGAGAGCTCGATGTGGGTATGTTTGAACTGGGTGCACTTACAGCTGGAGAGGATCTCCAGGCTATGGAATGGGTCCGCTTCAATTTGGACACCGGTGCAGCTCAGGACAAAGTGCCGGTCAAGGAAGGAACTGAGGGTATGTTCAAGACGGCCTCAGGTGAGCTGGTCCGAGGGACTGGTACGGGTGTGTTCAAAGGAACCGGAGAGTTTGGGCACTGCTGTAGTATCACAGGCCCGTTGGCTCCGGTACACAAACCCTTGGTCTCGGCCTACAAATGCTTGAAGCACGGCAGAGTTGCGGTGCTGGACGAGCATGGCGGGAATCTGATCCCGCAGGAGTCCAAGGTTTCTGGCAAGATCTTGGAGCTCATTGAGAAGGAGAAGAACAAGCGCCATGCGAAGGCATGGATTCCGGTGTACCAGGAGGAGGGTGTCTACAACTTCTACCTGAAGGCAGCCCACAGTGGTGTAAGTCCGGCCCAAGCCATGGCAGCGGCAGATGATGCCGTGCTCGCCGGACGAGGAGATGAGGACATGGGAGCACCTGAGGGCCGACCTGAGGGTGTTCCTGAGAGAGAAGAGGAGAGTGAGGAGATTGCACCGCCTGCGTTGGTGCACGCACCAGCGAACCCGACAAGGGCGGAGGTGGACGAGCATGAGTCCACAGGCCATGTTCAGTACAGGACTTGGTGCCGGCATTGCGTTGCCGGGAGAGGCCTGGGTCAGCAACACAGGTCTCGAGATGAGGAGAGTAAGAGAGATGATGGTTTACCCATCATCGCAAGCGACTACACCTTCATGACTACAGATGGCAAGGAAGATGGAAGAGCCAAGCCTATCTTGCTAATCAAAGACAGCCGGACGTTGTCCGTGGCAGCCACTTTTGTGGATGCAAAGGGTCCTACACCCTATGCCGTGAAGTTCTTCGCCAACTTTCTGAAGCACTTAGGCTATCGGAGAGCGGTCATGATGAGTGATGGTGAGCATGCGATTGTTGCTCTTAAGGAGCAGGCAGCCCGTGAGGCTGTAGTGGAAAACGTTCCACAGGAGTCCCCGGTGGGTGACCACCGGAGCAACGGACTTGCGGAAAATGCAATCCGTGAGGTCAAGAGGCAGGTAAGAGTCTTGAGGTCTTCTTTAGAAGAGAGGATCGGCAAGGTTCTACCTGAGGACGACCCCGTCCTGGCATGGCTTCCGCGGCATGCGGCAGACCTGATGTGCCGGTACCGCAAAGGACCGGACGGCCGCACGCCTGAACACAGGCGTTGTGGTAAGAACTGGCGAAAGCCAGCGATCGCTATAGGCGAAAAGTTGTACTACCGTGAGGTAGGAGAAGGAGTACGACATCTTAAGAAGGCCGCTACATCGGCCACCATGGTCGTACCGGATCACTTTTGGTGATCGCGGCAGATGGTGTCAAGAGAGGCACTGGAGTCCGCAGACTGGCGGACTGTGACCGTTGGGTAGCCCTACGAGGGCTTCCATGGGAGGTGACTGCACGGAGGTCACCGGGCACGCCACGTGCCGGAGCGGCGAGAAGCCGTTGTCTTGGTTGGAGAGCCAAGGATGGAGGTGCCACCAGCAGTTCATGTCATGGCGCCACCTATGCAGAAGAGGATCTACATCCGGAAGGCAGACGTCGAGAAGTACACGCCTACAGATGGGTGCCCAGGATGCACATGCATTTTGCTGGGCCAATCTACCGTGTTGCCACACACGGAAGCATGCAGAGCCAGGATTGTGACTCTGATGCAACAAGATGAGGAAGGCAAGAGCAGATTAGAAGAACACGAGAGGAAGAAGAGATCTAAAAGGGATGAGAAGAACGAGGCCCCTGAGAGGGATGTGACAGCTGATGACGCAGCTGGAGCGCCGGCAGACAAGGCCGTGCAAGCTAGTGAAGAACGCAGGGATGAAGGCATTTTGCCATACCCTGACAACCCAGAGGAGAGGTCAAGCCTGAAACGTGCACCTGCAGAGCCCAGCAGTAGCAGTACGCCTGCAGGGAGTAAGGCTAAAGCCTCACCGGTCAAGCCTCAGAAAAGACCGGGAGAACTCAGGATAGCCGCTGGACCTAAGCCACCCCAAGGAGAGAAGAGAGAACCTGAGGTATCAGTTGAAGATTTGAGAGATCAGACTGGAGAGCCACCTGCTGGAGCAACTACTCCAGGGCAGCCCCCGGACGCGGGAGGACTGTCTTTGAGCAGGGCAAAGGAGGTGGTGAAGAGGATGATCGAGAGGAGAATCAAGCAGGTCTATGAGCAGCAGGAGTAGAGATCTCGTCAGTGGAAATTGAGACTCTAGCCAACATAAGCTGCGAGCTAAGCGCAGTACACATCATGGAAGTGTACAGTCCAGCAAGATTCTCTAAGGAGGCGAGCAGGTTTGGTTTAAAGCCTGGTTTCGCAATCGACCTTGTTCGTTCTGGGACCTTAGCAGGCCAGAAGACGTCGAGGCCGTAAACCAACTGATTGATCGCGACGAACCAGTACTACTGACTGGGAGTCCGCCGTGTGATCAATTCAGCCACTTGCAGAACATCAACAAGTACAGGGTCAGCCCGGATCAACGTAAGATCCGTATGGATAAAGCACTGGAGCATTTGCGCAACTCATGCAGCTTCTATAGGAAGCAGCTGGATGCAGGACGCCTGTTCTTGCACGAGGCGCCCTGGAGTGCCACTTCGTGGAAAGATCCTGAAGTCAAGGAGCTGACGGATCGCCCGGACACCTATTTGGTCCGAGGGCCGATGTGCCGATGGGAGATGATGGCGACAGACCGCCGTGGTCTTCAAGGCACAGCCTATGTGAGAAAGGAGACCGGTTGGCTCACTAACAGCCGGGAGCTTGCTGAGCTCTTGGAAGGTGAGTGCAGCAACAAGGCAGGGAAAGATCCCTGGCACAGGCATGTACACCTCATTGGTGGAATTGCCAAGCAGGCCGCCAGGTACCCACCTGCGCTGGTGAAAGCTGTCCTTCGGACAGTTAAAGCTTATCTTGTACAGAAGGGTGAGCTTAACTCAATGGAGTCGAATACATCAGGGCCAATCTGTGAGGAACCTTTTTGTTCCAGCAGACTACATTGAAGAGTACTTGGGATGATGTGAATGGAGGACTTCTACCAGCGGAAGAAGTTAAGAAGGCCAGAACTCTTGAGATGGACTACTTCAAGAAGCAAGGAGTTTACCGGAAGGTGCCGGTAACACAATGCTACGCAGAGGGGCTTCGTCCAATCACGGTGAGATGGTTAGACACGAACAAAGGAGATCCTGAAAAGCCCAACTACCGGTCTAGATTAGTTGCCCGTGAAATTAAGGCAGCCAAGAAGCCGGAAGAACAGTTGCCGCAGAACCTCCTGTTCTCGTCAACGCCACTGTTGGAGGCAATGCGCTACTTGCTGAGTGCCTGGGCAACAGACCGGGTGTCAGCCAAGGGCCGGAGACTGAAGCTCGGTCTCTGGGACATAAGTCGAGCGCACTTTTATGGAGTTCCGAAGCGACGCATATATGTGGAGCTTCCACCAGAAGACGCAGAGGTTTGTTGGAGAACAGCATGTATGGTTGCCAAGACGCGCCAGCAATATGGCAAGACCATTATACCCAACTTCTTTTGAAGCATGGGTTTCAGCGTGGCCGCAGCAATGGTTCCTGCTTTTACAAGCCGAGCACAGGGTGCAGAGTGTTGGTTCATGGAGACGACTTTCTTGCACTTGGTGATCAAGAAGCTTTGGATGAGCTGGATTCCACTCTAAGGAGTGCCTACGAGCTGAAACGGCTCGGAATGCTGGGAGACGAGGATGGAGATGATCGCTCAGCACATTTCTTGAATCGTCTGATCCGCATTGGCATGCACGAAGGCCAATCAGCGGTTTTCTTGGAACCTGACCGCCGTCACGTGGAACTTTTGGTGAGGCATCTGGGAATGGTGAACGCGAAGGGCACTGAGACCCCAGACATCAAGAAGTCCGTGGAGCAGCAGCTTTTGGAGGCTAACAGCCCTCCGTTGGCACGAGAAGCAGCTTCACTTTATAGGTCGAGTGTGATGCGAGCAGCGTACCTCAGTCAAGATCGTCCTGATCTTTCGCACGCGGTGAAGAATCTTTCGAGGAAGATGGTCACCCCGACCGAGGCGGCGATGCAAGACCTGAAGAGACTGTGCAGGTATTTGCTGAAGTATCCTGATCTTTGTCAAGTGTTTGGGAGACAAGCCAAACCCTCGAAGGTCCGTATACAGGTTGATTCTGACCATGCAGGAGACGCTGTCACTAGGCGAAGCACTACAGGCATGGTTGCCCTCTATGGTAGCCATACGCTGAAGCACTCAAGCAACATCCAGTCGACGATAGCATTGAGCACTGGAGAGAGTGAGTACTACGCTTTAGTGAAAGGCGGTTCTGTAGGATTAGGACTTCACTCCCTCCTTCAAGACTTTGGAGTTGAGGTAGAGGTTCTAGTAGAGTCTGATGCAACCGCAGCCAAAGGCACGGTTAATAGAGTAGGCCTGGGAAAGGCACGCCACATTCAAACTCGTTATCTGTGGTTACAGGAACGTGTGGCGATGAATCATTTAAAGGTAGAACACATACCAGGCAAGCGGAACAGGTCTGATGTGCTGACAAAGTCAGTACCCGGAGTCCAAATGAAGGACACAATGAATCGTTCCGGATTTGTGTTTCTTCAAAGCAAGAGTAAAGGCCAGATGAGTCTTCTAGATTCGTAAGGGCCTGGTCCAGGCTCCGACTACCGCACTGTATAGTTGCTGTGCGGGGATCAAGCACCCTCCAGCAAGGAGGAGTGTTGAAATATGTAGCCCAATACGCATGTTGTCATATACAGTTGTACAGTTGAGACTACTGACATGTTTTGGCTCAAGAAAATAAGGCGCTCCGAAGCGGCCAATTAGATTTTCAGAAAAGGATGATGGATTGATGAACCATGCGTTTTCGCCGGCAGCGCGCGCAAGGGGAGAAGACGCTGCAAAAGTAACCGCCGGCAGATGCGGAGGTTTTGGAGCTTCCGGGTCCAGTTGAGCGCAACTGTCCAGCCGGATTCTCGATGTTGTTTAGCGTAAGAAGTGGAAGTTTCGCGAAATGTCGATGGACCTCCCCGCCAGTTTCCAGGGTTGGCGGGGAAACGAGTCATCCGAACACAATATTAATGTTGCCAGGACTCGTTTTAGCACCCCTGTTCAAGATCATTTGCAGAGCTCGCAGTTTTTCTATGTTTCCGAGGATGGTTATATTACATTATACATATGATGCCACATATTATATGTCTGCAACATATACCACCTACGCCTCAGGTGGCACATTGCGACATGCGCCCTTGCTCATGGCGCTGAGTGTGTGGTGTGTGGTTTCTGAGTTCATACAGGCCTGTGCTCCCCAAATATCCGCTCCATGCTGTGGATAGGAGACATCTTGCCAAATAAAGTTTAGTGACTTCAAAATTATGCATCAGTATATCCTGTGAGGAAAGCCGGCAGTTGACCGAGCAACCATGTTACCGGCCCTTGGCTTTCTCGAGGCTCGGCTCGTGGACTGCACCGAAGGCGCTAAGCTAAAGCTGGTGAATGCAGCTACGGCCTGCAACGCTTCGTCCAAGACGAGTTAGCCTTTCGAATCAGAGACTTTAATTTGGGTCCTTCAACTCGACTCCCTAGCTTGGGCCAGAGACGGACTGATGGAGTGTGCATGTTCTACAATCTCAGGAAACAATCGGGTCTCTGTAATCCATTTACAGTCAAGCAACCAATCTGCAAGAAGATGCACCAGCCACATGCTGAGACAGGCACGGCTTCATCTTTGTAGTGTCTCTGGCGGAATTTCCCGTAAATTTTACACATTCGGGACCGAATCGCATGCTGTGCCATGCGTTTAACGCATTTCAAGCTCAAAGCAAAGCTTGTGATTTCTGCGGATGATGGCTGGATGATAGGCAGGGAGCGTTCTTCAAATATGTTTGTAAAGGAACAAGCATGAGGCATTGCAGTTTTCCTTGCTTAGCTCCCAACTTCCCAGTCATTGTGGAAAGGGAAGCTAATTCAGCTCGTCGAACCCTGGCGGGCACTGACATGTCAAAGAGATGTGGCCGAGTCGCAAAAGAACAACCAGACCCAAAAAGTCGCACACGGCAACCGGCTGCAAGGCTGAGCAGATTTTGACACAACACAGGCTACTCATGGAGACTCGGAGCCATGCAGCGGGCGTTGGAGACTCACATCACTTTTGTGTTTCTTATATGTTTCTGCTGCGGGCACCACGTTCCACCGGGCAAGTTGTTGCACTGTTGCAAAGGAAGCCACACTGTTGCACTGTCGCACTTGTAGCATCCGATTCGCACACAGGGACGAGTAGCAATGGCTTGCTTTGGTCAACAGAAGCAGCGATACCATGCGCGGGACCGCCCAAAGCATCCCTGCGCATTCCGGATAACAAGTTGCGTTTATGGACTTTGCCTTTGTTGCGCACAAGCACTGCTGGTACGGCGTGCCCCTGAGTGCAGTTGCATTGTCTCTCATGTCAGCATATGCTCGGCAGCAATTTTGAACGGCTGTTCTATTCTTCATCTCAAGGCAAAAAGTAGTGTCAGAAAGGACGCGCAAAGTGTAACAGAGTATCTCCACAGGTGCCACGGTGTGGCGAGTTCGAAGAGACGCTGTAGCCTCAAGAAGAAAACATGTTGTCGTCTATGGCTCGCTTGTGTGTTGCTGGAATAGCTTCTCATGGCGGAGCTGACTAATCTTGAAGTGAATATTGCCAGCCATACCGAATTCAAGGGGAGCGGAAAGCAGATTCAGCATCAAACGCTCGAAACATTTGAGCCAATCCAGCCAGTTCTGCGGTGAGTTCATGATTCTTCCGTTTGAGCCTCAGAAAACACAATCAAGTCAACACGGATGAATGATGCTTTTGCATCAGCTTGCAGACCCCGGCAGCAGCATGTGGTTGTCAGCGCTCATTCTCCTTGCGCACGCTCCTTCATTGCATGCTGCCCTTCTGAATGTGACCTTCTGGAATAAGTTGAGCGAGACGGAGTTCAATGTTCTCTGGCATGGAGATCCCGGCAACGGGCCACGCCAGGTTTTTGGGCCAATTCTGCAGGGCTCAAAGTCAATGGAGGTGAGCGTTGGACACTCGTTCTCGTTTGCCGCAGCTGGAATTCTGGCGCCAGTCAGTGAGTTTGTGATTGATGGGTCATTGCAGGAGTGTTCCATCACCCGAGAGATCGTCGAGACACAAAGTGTGATCCTGCCTTCAGTGTTTGCGTTTGGATGGCTGTGGCTGGAGCGTGGTGAGGCAAGCTTGCTTCCCAGCACACCGGATCGCTACGAGTGACAGCTGCGAGGAGCCTCGAGGAACAGCTCAGAAGTTGCTTGCTAAGATTGCTATTGGCGATGGAATGGCCAAGAGGTGATGTTGCAGCTCCGGATCTTGCCCCTGCAATCCAAGCTGAGCTTCAGGACCTTACTCCTAAGCTGGAGGCAGTCTTTGACGATGTAGACTCCTCGCAGCTCCTAAACCAGTCCCGACATCCAGCACTGCTTTTCGCCAGGGGTGAGCCTGTGGTAATTACGGATGTATTTTCGGACAGAGCCGTTGCCGAGAAAACGCCTGTGCACAGATGGACGTTGAAATATTTAGAGGAGAACATGCACGATGGGTTTTATAATGTTTCAGCTAATGTAAACACTTCGTGCTGTGAGTACTACGAGCCTCGCAAGCAGTGGAAGCTGATTATCCCTATCGTTTCAGCCCCACCACCCATTTGTATCGAGACACCTTTCGTGGCTTTGCGTCTACGCTGAGAGCTGAGAGCAAGCCACTTTTGCACTATTTGCATGATGTCGCTGTTGAGCGCGATGGTGCCCCTATCATGGCAGGCAAAGCTGCACCAGCAGCGATTGCTGCAGACCTGAACGAACAACTGCTACACTGCTTCGCATCGCAAGAATGCAGGCGTTTTTTGGAGGCATTGCCAACGCGAAGCTGTGGACAGGCCAGCAAGGCATTGCCATGCCGCTTCATTATGACTCTGCAGATAATATGTATGTGATGCTTTCGGGTCGGAAGCGCGCACTTCTGGCAGAGCCAGGGCAGATGGATGTTTTCTACCGCTACCCCAACAAGCATCCCAAAGTTGGAAGCTCGCAAGTGAACCTCTCCAACCCCAACCTCGCAGAGCATCCTCGCTTTGCGCGGGCAAAGCTTTGGGAGACCGTGGTCGGTCCTGGAGACGTGCTTTTCTTGCCCAGCCAACTGGTGGCATCAATTCGAGCAGCCCTTTGAAGGTACAGCGTCGCTAACAATCTTGTCGTATGACTCACCAGGGGCACTTCCTGCTCCTATGCGTGATATCCGCATGCGCATTGCTGCTCTCTTTTTTTTTTATGGGAGTAGAAAGTGGTTGAGAAGTTCGGGAACAAGGCAGGGGATGCCAGGGCAAGTTAAAAAATCAAACGTCGCTGCCATGGACTGCGAGTTGCGTGTCGAGCCAAGCGCAGCAACCAAGGGTTTCACTTCTTTTTTCGCGGCAGGCTGGCGTTTTGCTGGCAGCTTTGGTGGGCTTGCAAAGTTTGGAAAGTTGCAGAGTTGGGCTGGGAGCTTGCCTGGCCGGCGGACGCGATGGTCCAAGCGGAGCCACAAGAGGTTGTTGTCAACGTGTTCTTGGATGGCTACAAGAGCCTCTTCGTGCACCTCAATGGTTGGAAGCCTGGTAAGGAGTGGGACATGTCGACCCTGACGTCCTTGGGTCCAGAGTTGGTTGCCCGCAGCACGCAAGCGCCAGTAACAGCTACCTATGCTAGCATTTGCAGAATCTCGGCTGACACAGCACCATCACTTTGCCGAACCAGTTCTAAGCAACTCTTGGGAGCCTTTTTCGAGCAACGTCGCTGGGGAGCAACGTCGCTTGTGACTGGTAGTTCAGCCACTCCACGCTCGTGTATGACAGGCGTGGGTGGCTCAAGTGCAAAAGCCGCTCATCTTGTTGTTGGCGTTGCTTGAGACCTTGCCACGCTTGGTTCTACAGTCCGTGTTGCCCAACAGTAAATATCATTGCGTTTTGCGCGCTCAGTGGCACTGTGGCCAGCCTCTGAGGAACCTGAGAGCTATTTCGCCAACTCCTTCGCGCCGGAGGATTCAAGTGGAGTCCGAGAGCTTGGAGACACAGACAGAGACACAGACAGAGACACGCGCGAAGAGAGACGCGCGAAGAGACACGCGCGAAGAGACACGCGCCCAGGAGACACAGAGAGACACACAGAGACACAGAGAGACACACAGAGACACACAGAGACACACAGAAGACACAGAGACACAGAGACACACAGAGACACACAGAGAGACACAGAGAGACACAGAGAGACACAGAGAGACGCAGAGAGACACAGAGACACACAGAGAGACACAGAGAGACACAGAGAGACACAGAGAGACGCAGAGAGACGCAGAGAGACACAGAGACACACAGAGAGACACAGAGAGACACAGAGACACACAGAGAGACACAGAGAGACACAGAGAGACACAGAGAGAGCAGAGAGACACAGAGACACACAGAGAGACACAGAGAGAAACAGAGAGACACAGAGAGACACAGAGAGAGACACAGAGAGAGAGACACAGAGAGAGACACAGAGAGAGACACAGAGAGAGACACAGAGAGAGACAGAGAGAGACACAGAGAGAAACACAGAGAGAGACACACAAAGAGAGACACACAGAGAGAGACACACACAGAGAGACACACACAGAGAGACAGACACAGAGAGACACAGAGAGACACAGAGAGACACAGAGAGACACAGAGAGACACCGAGAGA